TATAAGCATGGATTTATTTCTGAGCTCTCTATCCTGTTCCATTGATCTGTATGTCTTTTTTTGGTGCTAGTACCATACTGTTTTGATTACTACAGCTTTGTAGTACAGTTCAAAATCTGGGATTATGATACCTCCAGTTTTGTTCTTTCTCAGAATTGGTTTGGCTATTTAGGATCTTTTGTGGTTCAATACAAATTTTAGGATTATTTGTTCTAGTTCTGTAAAAAATGCTATCGTTTTTTGGTAGAGATTGCATTGAATTTGTAGATTGCTTTAGGTAGTATCAACATTTTAATATCAATTCTTCCAATCCATAAGTACAATATATCTTTCCATTAGTTTGTATCATCTTCAGTTTCTTTTATCAGTGTCTTCTAGTTTTAGGTCTTTCATCAATGGCCTATCATTTTATCTGTATGTATTTTCATAATGTATCTCTAAAAGATAAGGATTCTTTTTAAGAAATAATCACATCTTCATTACACTTAAACCAATTTAACAATAAATTGTTTATATCAGCATATATCCAGTTCATATTGACAACAATCCAGTGTTCACATGTCTCTGTCTCATTTTTTTATACTTGTTTGTTTAAACCAAGATTGAAATAAAGGTCATACATTGTACTCGATTAATAATATCTTTTAAATCTTTTTAAAAAGATTTTATTTATATATTTGACAGAGAAAGAGAGAACAAAAGTAGGCAGAGCGGCAGTCTGAGGGAGAGGGAGAAGCAGGCTCCCAACTGAGCAGAGAGCCTGATATGGGACTCCATCCCAGGACCCTGGAATCATGACCTGAGCCAAAGACAGATGCTTACCAGACTAAGCCACCCAGTGCTCCCTTTTAAGTCTTTTCTTATCTGTTGGTTTCCCCTCAAATTTTTTGCTATAGTTTTTTTTTTTTTGAAGAAAGCAGGTCCTATCGTGTTTCCCATCATCTGAATTTTGTTGATTGCATCTCTGTAGTTTCACTGATATGTTTCTCTGTTCCCTGTATTTCCTGTAAATTGGCAGTTAGAGCTAAAGAGTTGATTAGGTTCGGGTTTGATTTTTTTAGTTGATGGCTTTGTGTACTTTCATCATGAGGCATATGTCTAGTTGTCACTCTGGTTAGCAGCCATTGCTGATTGTTGCTTAGATCCATTAATTCATCTGGGGTTGCAAAACGGTGATATTCTAATTCCATCAAGGCTTCTTCATTTATTTGTGGAATTATTAAAAGAAAATTCCCTTCATCAGCTATTTGTTTAGTCTGAGGAACAGGTCATACAGGATCAGTGCTTCATCTTTCCCTTCACTAGTTTTCAAAACAGTGAGTTGGTTCTCTACCATTTTGCAAAGGTGATCACTTTTAAAATTCAAAATATAATACACATACTATAAAATTCACTCAATTGCACAATTCACTAGTTTCTAGTATATTAACAAAGCTGTGCAATCGATCATTTTTAAAAGTGTCATTATAAACTCACAAACATACTTGGTGAGTTTCATTTCACAGCAGATATTCTTTTGACATTCAAAATTTTTCATCTTTAGCCAACTAGAGCCTCTTTAAACTGGCCCCTGAGACCTTTTGACACACTCCTAGTAATTTTGACATTTTCTTTTCTTGCTTTCTGTTATGAGGAGATATTCCTGGTTCACTATGTACTTTTCTGCTCCAGCCTAGGAATCAGTCATTTCTTCCAGAAACCCTGGTTCTGTTAGTGGAAAATTGTATATAGAGGCTTCAGTCTGTGAAGCCGACTGTCGGTCACCCGACAGGTCATTGTTTCTAGGCCTCACATATCGATTTTCACCTTTTTAGTGGAGCTAATTTGTTTGCTGTGTTCTATGATTTATAATCCATGAGAATTTGGCTATTGGTGACTTTCAGGAACTAAACAATGTCTTATTCAACTAATGACTTGTGTGAAAAAATACTGTTTGAAAATCACCTAATTGTCAGTCACTGTTTATTTCCCTTGGGGAGGGTGTGTGGCTTAAAGGCTCAGATTAAAAATTCTTACTTGACATTAATTATAGCCAGCTGAATTCCAACATGATGCAACTTGCTCATGTTAAGATAAGTATGACTTAAGTATCAAGTATCAGATAAATGGTTCATTTCTATAGGGCATGCTTAGTTCAATAAAACTAGGGCCTTTCTAGGGGAAAATGAATATTTTTCAGTCTTTGGGATATGAAATAATGAATTACCACAACTTCATTCAAGAAGGTCTCTATTTTCTAAGGCAGTAATTTATGGTTTCCCATTTGGATTTTCATCAGTCGGTGATGTGGAGTGAAAATCAACAACTTCTTTTCTTCTTTTTTTTTTTAACAGCTTCTTTTCTGACTAATCTTTCTCTGGAAAAGTGATTGAAAAGCCTCGTATTATTTCTGGCTCAAGGACCTATAAACATGTCAGAGATTTTAGTTAAGTTATTAAAACACTGTCAAAACCTTGAGTAGATGCTTTTAACTACCTGATATACATTAACAGCTCTGAAGAAACAAATAAATTTTAGCACATAACCCAAACCCATCTAACTACATTGAAACCATCTATCCTGTATTCACAGCATATACCTTTGAAATATTCTGTTCTCCATCTACCTAAATAAAATTTCCTTTTATTGTGTGCTTATTTAAGCAAGAAAATGAAAGCACTTAAGAATGTTTTTATTCTGCCACACACAGCCTCCTTATTCGCAGTTCCCAAGGGCAAGCACCACATCTTTTGACTCTCCGTGCCCAGAATTCTATGGGTCCCAGATACGAAAACAGTGAACAAAAAGTATCAATGCAAGATAGGCTGTCCTTCAAGTGCCACGTTGTCAGGTCCTGAATCACTCAGTGCTTGATTACCAAATGCTTTCATTGATGTTAGGTGTCCTCTAGCTCCAACTATGAACATTTTCATCAACTATGTTTTGTATGTTATTATAACACTGAACAATTTCTGATCTCTGCTGTTTATACTTTCTTTGCTCCTTCATTTTGAGTATTTTATATTCAGTGTACTTCTAGTAAAATGATTTTTATCATGCAGCGTTGTTTATGGCCTTCTATAAATGGATTTGAAGTACAAGTTACTTTCCCTTTTTTGACAACTTAAAAGAAGTATAGTTGAGCTCATCTGTACAATCATGTGTAGGGTATTTGTTGTACTGCAATGAAGTTTTATCTAATGTAATTAACAGAACTAGGCCATTGTTTCCTTGTTTCCCAACAATTTAACAGTCTCTTTTGCATGAAAAGTAATGGCACAGGGCTCTTGAAAAGTCTGAAGACCTAAACTACTTCTGGACTTCTAAATTGAGGAAACATCTTTTTCATTTATAATCCTTGATACTCTTTTTTGTAGTGCTTTCTACTGGTGTACTTAGAAGTATTTGATGGTAATGATGGAAGAACTAACAAGAATGCTGACATTAGGTTTTTGTATTCATGCTGCTTATAGCTACATGGTGATGAGACCCCATTCTTGACATACCATAGCATTAAATGGAGGCCATTGGAAAGTACTTAAAATACTGGTTATCAATTTTTTGAAATCATATTAGTGTGCACACACAAGCTATTTCTCATTTTTTTACTTGACAAAAGTTAGCTTTATTTACCTTTCTGTGAATACAGTCTGTATCACAACGTAATGCAATTTTCTAGACATGGCAAAGACATGTTGTCATTCTTTCTCAAAAATGAAAGGAAATTTAATCTCTTGTAAAAAATCAAAGGTAAAGCCTGGAAGGGAAAATTATCATCCAGTACGTCCTTTGAGATTTCTTGTTATTATACCTTTGTTTTTCCTTCTTGAAAGCATTTTATAACTGTAAAATGTCTGAGGGAGTGGACAGTTTGCATTCTGGGAGTTTTAAAAAGTTATGACAGGAACCTAAATACATGGCCTCTGTATTTAAAGAGACTTCACATCAATATGCTATTTGCTTTATAACCTTTGTGTTCTTCACTGTTTAAAAATCTTTTTAGTGAATTAAAGAAAGAAAGCATGTCAGATTCTGGATTAATATAAGGATTACATCGTTTAACTAGTAACTTATAGTTTGGGTCCCAAGTTCAGTATGGAAAGAGCGTAAAAATTTAATGGAAACACAAATACACATTTTTGGAGTTGATAGATGCTTGTTTATCAAATACGTATTTTTCTTTTTCTCCTAAGTCTTTTTAAACTTTAAAAGGCTTAGTTTGTAAAAAAAATCCATACCCGCTTCTGCTGCCTCTCTATATTACAAAATGTGAAAAATTCATTATTTATGAAACAATTACACAAGACTTAAATTTCATAGGCTCCCAAACTCTGAAATACAGATATATAGAAAATATACATTAAAAAATCCTGTTCATTGCAATGTGCGAAACCAGTTTGAAAAGGTAACCCTTTTCCTCATCTTTGTATCCTGCAAACTAATAAAATAAGTTAGGTTCTCTGACTGAATGCTTGTTTAAAAAAAAATTAAACGGTTTGATAGTAGCTGTAGGATAACCCTTCTCCCCCTTCTCTGTGCCCACACACCCATTTAGACTGGCAAGCCTATTTTCATTTATTTCAAAGATTTTTTTTCTTTCTTTTTTTTTAAGTGAAGGCAGGGGACGGCGGGGATTGCTAAATTTATCTTCTCCAGCCACAGGGATGAAGAAAACACATTTACTGCGGGCGGGGGTCTGAGGGCCTGCAAACAACTCGAGCAGGCGCCTCGGCCAAGACGGGCGCGGAGAGGCGGTAGGTCTCCGGGGAGGGCCCGGGGGGCGGCCGAGGCCCACGGGAGATGGTGGGGGGCGACCAGGCCGGGTCGGGTGCCGGCCGCCTGCCTCTCCACGGGGTCGACGGACCGCGGCCCCGCGCAGGCTTTACGGCCGAGGCGGCGGCAGCGGCGTGTATGTAGCGGCGGCGGCTGCGGCGGCGGGCGGGAGCGCGGAGGAGGTGGAAAGAAGGGGGGCGCTGTCACGGAGACTCCGGCCGCCGGAGACCCCGCCACAGCAAGGCCACTGGGCTCCCCGGTCGCGGAGCGTGAGCGGCGCCGACCCGGGGCGCCAAGGGGACACACCGGGCGGAGGAGGGGGCCTATCTACCCTTCCGCATTTTCCTGGGTCTCTCTCCCGGGCGGTGACGTGACGTGCTGACGGCGGGCCCGTGCCGGGGAGCTGGGCCGCTTTTTGTCAGCTCCGAGCTCGGCCCCTCCTCCCTCCCTCCGCCCGCCCCACCAGCCGGAGCCCGGCCCAGTGCTCCAGAGAAAGGCCGGCCTGCAGCACCCGCCACCGTCGCCGACCGCCCGCACGCCCGTCCGGTGAGTTCCGGGCGCCGCCGCGGCCGTGGGGCCTAGCGCGCGCGCAGCGGCCTGGTCCCGGCCTGGTCGGCGGCCCGCGAGGCGCCCTTCCGCGCTAGGCCGGGCGGTGCGGCGCGTGGCGCCGAGCAGGCCCCGAGGAGGCCGCAGTTAGGCCCGGGGAGGAGCCCGGCTGCCCCGAGCGGCGGCGGAGGCGCGCTCCGTGAACGGGCGGGGGTTGGGGGAGGGTCGCCCGGTGGCCCGGGAGGCGGCGGAGGGGCGTCGGGTCGGCGCCGCGGCCTGCCCGGGGCACCGCGCGGGGGCGAGGCCTGGCAAGAAGGCGAAGGCTGCAGGCGTGAGGTGAAGGCCGCAGGCCGGCCGGGCCGATTTTCGCTATGTAAATATCGGCGAGGGGGGGAGGGACGGGGGACAAGATGGCGGCGGCTCGGCGCCTGCTGCAGGGAACGATTGAGGGGGTTGTCGGGAGGGGGAGCCGCCATCTTGAAGGCGGCGTCTGAAGAGAAAATTCCGCTACAGCCCGTGAGGGGGGGTCGAAGAGCGGGCGGCGGCGGCGGCGGCGGCTCCGGTGACGGGCCCCCGAGGCCCGGCACGGCAGCCTGTGCGCGCGGAGGGGGCGTGCTTGCTCCCCACAGCGGCCATTGCCCTTGCCGCCATGATGGGCGCTCAGGCTCTAGGCGCTCGGCGGCAGCGCCACCTTGCTGCCCTGCCTTCCGCAGCCCCGTGACTGGCTGCTGCTTCCGCTGCATTTTAACTGAGCTGCCGCAGGCGGCCATCTCGTCCCTGGGCGTCCCTGGCCCTGCGCCTTTCTCCCGCTCCTGGAGCAACCCGAGGGATGTCGGGACGGGTGGCAGCCCAGGCATCTGGGCTCCCTACGGCAAATGGAACCCCACGACATTTTATTTTTACTGCACGTCGTACGTGGCTATTATGGTGCCCTCGATGCGGTTTTGCAGCACTCCCTGCTTTCTCTAGTACCCGAATAAAGAAATAAAAATAAAATTCGATAGGAACAGTTCTCATCACGCTTTTATCCAACGGGGGGAAAAGTGTAATTTGCACAACACGAAAACAGAGGAATAAATTTTTTAAGGAGTCTTTTGAACTCATTTATTTGAAAGCAACTTTCTAGAAAAGGTCCATTTAAGCTATTAGTGATCTGTTGGTATTAACTTTTTTTTTTGAGGAGTAAGGAGGTCAACGTTTTTTTATTTCCTTAGTCGTGCAGTATTTATTCATCTGCTTGCCATGGTTTTTTTAGTTTCTTTATTTGATTTGAAAAATTCTTAGGTGGCATTCCGTCCCTGAGAGGACTTTTTGCACACTGCAGAACTCCCGTGTAAACTTGGAACCCACTGTTAGCGATGCACTGTGCTCGCTGATAAAGATTAGAAAGGTTTTTATGCAGACGGTGGCTGCAAGAAGTTCGTTGTTCAGAGGCGGAGGAGTCCTGGTGAATTGCACTCAAGTGCTGCGGGGGAAAAGGTACAGCCAATTACGGGGGTTCCAGAGGAAGGCAGAGTTTGCATTTGGAGCGTGAGGAAAGGTTTCCTGAAGTAGGTGACATTTTTGAGGTTACTTAAGGATGGGGAGGGGGGCTTTGTTAAAGCAGAGGTAGCGGGTGGGGAAAGGGCATTTCAAGGGTGAAGTTTCTTCACAAAGTAGCAAGTATTTGAGAAAAACAAACGAGCCAGTATTTGTAGTTTGGCAGGAGTCGATGGTGAAGGTAGGGGGGTGATGAGATTTCTTGCTAGAGAAGGTGCAAGAGTTGGCTTGCCAGGTGGAGGGGCTTATACGTTGGGGGTGACCAGGGCAGCCCTTGCGTAGAAGGATGATAATACACCTGAGCTGGGCTTTATATTCACTTAGCAGTTCCATCGGACTAGGAAAAGTTTCGAAGTTGAGAAATAGAGTAGCAAGTGGATCAGTGTTTTCACTACCTGAATGATTATCAAAACTGTTCCAGAAGTTCAGCCAGTTTTGCTACCTTTTCAACGACCGGTTTGTACTAAAGAGCTGCTCCTCTTTTCTATCCTAACTTTTCACTCCAAATAACCTTTAGCTCCGAGTTATAATTTCACTAGTAAACAAAGAGTGAGAGGGTTCTAACTTTTCATTTACCATGGTTGAAAATTGCAGCACTAGTGTGTTTCGGATTACTTTACGAAGATGAGCAATGAACCTGTAAGTATTCTCATGGTAATTTTTTAAGAAGTCAGTTTGAAAAGTTAGAAGAAAGATTACTAAAAAGGCAGCAGCCTTCAAATGGTTTTTTGCAATCTCAGTTCTTTACTCTGGTGAGAGTGACTACCCTTTTGTTTGAGAGAGGACTAAGGATGTTAGCTAAGCCAGACCTTCTCATGTTTTGGTTAATATTTGACTGTCCTAGATTCACATGTGGGGAATGTGTTTCTTAGAATTTTATGAACTAAATCTATAGGTAGTATAAGTATTCACTAGAAAGGTGTTTGTTTTTCCATTTTCCTGGACTGCAAGAGGTCAAAGGACTGATGCTCCATGAGAGGACAGGAGGGATCTGAAGATTCTCATGTTTATCGTAAGGGGCCATGGTTTAGAAAAGTTGGAAAAACACTTGCATTTTAGGATGCTGACTAGAAGCAAGTTGCTAAGCTAGTGGGCAGTGGTTGTTGAGATGGTAAGGATAAACATAAACTTAGAAGAACCAGTTGCTTTATATCTTGACAGCTGGGAAGGACTCAGAGCTCTAAAAAAAAAAAAAAAAAGAATTGAATAGCTGCACACACAGTGCAGCAGCAGTAGATGTTCCATTATAGGAAGAGTAGATGGTTAAGATTGAGACAGGTTGTATAGTTAAGACTGATAAATGAATGGGTTAGAAGGATTACTATTGAAAACCATTAAATATGAAATGTTATTGCCTGAAAGGGTAGACCTTGATCTGGAAAACTGGTGTAACACCTTATTACCCAATCATTTTGGATAAATGAAGTGTTGGTTCTTAATTTGTGTGTATATTTCCGATAGATGCAAGTTTCCTTTTTAAAAAACATGCCACAGGGCATTAAAAATTTTTTCTTTTCCACATTGCTCTTTGTAAATGCTTCCTCTCTAACCCCATCTGGACAAATAATTGTCATGGATGACCTTCTTTGTGTATTTGTGTTTGTGCACACTGGCCATTCCAGACTTGATTTTTTTTACTCAAACTCCTCCACCCGTCCTTGAAACCCCTCAGCCTCACAAAGATTACCTAAACTTTTGCTTAAACCAGAAGATACACAACAATCTGATCTAAGCATTTGAGTTTCCTTCCTTTCCACTGCACATTCTTCCTCTGTCTCTACCTAGGCTTTCCTCCTGTTCTTTCCCTGCAGGAAGAATTGGCCTCCTTCATGCCCACAACTGCTCTGCCTGTTGGCTGCCGCCGCCCCCCCCCCCCCCCCCCAGCCTGGGACAGGGCTCTCAGTGATTTTGCTGTTGCATCATTGCCCTCTAACTCTGCTAGTGCCTTTCCCGCGCTCCTTAGAAACATTCCTAGCTTTCTTTGCTCATCTTACAAAAAACCCTCACTTGTCTTCTCAGTCCCTTCACCATTACTTTTATTTCTTTTCATTGCACTTACTCCTGAATCCACTATTTCAGAAATTGGGAAACCTTCACAACATGTATCAAATAAAAGTGTTCTTTGTTTCAGAAACTCTCTGTGCATTGTCTCCGTTTTCTATCATGGAATTTCCCTCAAGGTCAGTCCTCTGTCCTTTTTCTTGAATTTCCACCCTTGGTTTTAGTGTCCTTTACCATGCCCACCCTCTTTTCTAGCTTCTCCTGTAGTATTTCCAGTTGCCTACTGACCATCTCGATCCAGGTGTGTTACTGTCTCAACATGGCTGAAACCAAATTTATGTGGCATATTGGAGATGTCCAGTACTATTTGTAGAGTCTTTTTTCTTATTTTTTTAACCCTCAAGTCTCGCTGTCTAGCTTTTTTTCTTGTTATTGGCACTATTGTTTTTCCAGGCTCATTCTTCTTTGTCTCGTATCAGTGTGGACAACTTTAATTTAGCATTTAACCTATTATGTTTTAACTGTATATTTATATTTTTTGTCATCTTTTCTAAACTCTGAATGTAGGGGATCCCTGGGTGGCTCAGTGGTTTGGCGCCTGCCTTTGGCCCAGGGCGTGATCCTGGAATCCTGGGATCGAGTCCCATGTCGGGCTCCCTGCATGGAGCCTGCTTCTCCTTCTGCCTGTGTCTCTGCCTCTCTCTCTCTCTCTCTCTCTCTGTGTCTCTCATGAATAAATAAGTAAAATTTTAAAAAGAAAAAAAACAAAACTGTGAATGTAGAGACGGGGTCTTCTTTATTCTTATCCTGAGCAGTAGCTGGCACGTGATCATTATCTCTAAAAACAATTATGTCAGTTATTGGTGACAAAACTTCTTGTAGTTTGATTAGTTTTCAAGTATTAAAGCATCTAGTCTGTGTGTCCTTTGACCAAGGAGTGTACATTTTAAGGCACACTACATGAGCTCGGTAACCCCTTCCCCCACTGCTTAACTTTTTGGGGTTATGTGATCAATCTGTTTTTATTCCTGTCAAATTATTTTCCCAAACAACTTTTTAAATGTCCAGGTATCTTGGGGCACCTGAATGGTGCAGTTGGTTAAGTGTCTGGCTTTTGGTTTTGGCTACAGTCATGATTTCAGTATCCTGGGAACGACTGGTTATGATCTCAGGATCCTGGGACCGATCCCTGCACAAGGCTCTTGAATTCAGTGCAGAGTCAGGTTGAGATTCTCTCTTCTTCCTCTGCCCTTTCCACTAGGGCATGCTGTCTCTCTAAAATAAATAAATCTTTAAAAATAAATCCGGGTATCTCATAACTGTATTTGGAGGAAGCACACTTTAAGGAAATCTCAATGAGAAGTAGGTATAGGATTTTTTAAAATACATTTAACATTTTTAAATTGTGAAATATTTTCAGAACTGAAGAGCAAGTATCACCCAGATTTAACAGAACTTAA